GTGGAGCAAAATTGTAAGGTCGCTGTTATTTGTTATCTATATTCGCACGTCAATAAATTGTGAAAGACTGTATAACCAAACACACAAAGAAATATTGCTTTCACCGATAGTATACGTCCGCTATAGAAAGAACCAAAACATTATCTGACCTTTGTTCATTGCAGTTGTTTACAGCGTACTCGACACGGCGTTTATTCAATGTATGTGACACGTCATATTGTGATAATGTGATAAATTAGTGCGTTTATCTGACCTTACCGACGGGTCAAAAAAATAAAACACCTACTTGTACACGTATAAAACACAACATTTCGGTCACATATGATGTGAGAAGAAATGGCATTGATTTGATTTGATATTGATCAAATGGTATTTTCGATCACAGATACGTGATGTACATTTCCACACTCGCAAGAAAACTCCACATAATGATGTGTTTGCATTTCCCGAAAATTAAATTAAATTGAACTACAAGGTACTAATACAAGTTAATGTTTGATTTTACTTGACAAAATTCAAACAGAAAATATAAACTTTGCAAACGTGTGAGCCAAACTGTGGGCATATTTTAAGTACATCAAATATTTATCGATATTCTGAGCAGATTAATGAAGATAATAAATTCAGATCGTAAAATACAAATGCGTTTTATGTTCTTTAGTAGAACCACTAGATAAAGATTACGACTGTGACTGCTGTAATCTATAAATTGCCAAATCATATTAGAAAAACGTCATTAGCATGTCACAAGTATCAATCAGCATGTTGGCTGAACAATTTCTATATTTGTATTCAGTATGGCAACAGTAACTGGAATCTACTATAGATGCCAATGGTTAAACGGACCATTTTTTGCAAATTTTCACTCATTGGATATGTTATTAACAGCCAGATTCAAAACAGTACTGTGTTAATATTGCACATGGCATTTTATTGAAATCTCCCAATAAAAGAAAAATACTACAAGTCAGTGTCAACACATTACTGTCTGCCAATTTAGCACAGATCAGTGGAAGCTAGTTTATATAAAGAATTTTAAAACAAGCATATGCAAATAAACATAATCTGTAGAAACGTTAAGCCAAGTTTTACCGGACAATGCACTGCAAGGATCCAATAGTAATCCGACAGTGCTTGACTTGTATACTAACTAATTATCACGCAATGAGTATTTAGTAGTGTCAGCACAGACGGGGACTATTCCATCTTCAATCTGACTTCTCTCTACCAGTCCTGTTACAATATACAAAGAGTATTTCACATACCTGTATAGCCACATAGCGTGGCGGAATATGGAGTATACTTTTTCAAGAGACACTTATCATGGCAAAAATGATAACAATCAAATAATACTGAACAAATGGGGTGAATACAAACAGATTCGATTAAATGTTGTGAAAGAGACAGGTTGATTCTCTATAATTAATTAATAAAACTATATAAAATTGTCAACTCTGTCACACGGGGCATTGATAGTTTAAAATCTACCTAGTGCTGCTCGGTTCCATTGGAGTTGTCAAACCTATACTAGCATTTATAAATGTCTGTGTTCACGTGCATTTAAATGGCACCCTCACGAGGTGTTGCAGTACTAAGAAAAAAATCACTAAAGAGGGGGAGGAGGGTGAACTCGTATCCAAGGAGGCGCGATCAGATACAGCCACTGGACGAGCAATGGATGTGGATATTGGCTTGTAGGGCTATTTTACGCTCATTATCTAAAACCTCAGTATAGCACTTACCTGCCCCACTTTGTGTATTGTATGAGAACAAAGTCTATGTATATCCTTGACAACCAATTGTGCAATGGAACAAATGTATTAGCTGAATTTATGGCATATTCCATTTGCAAACTAGGGCTATGTTCCCCTCTCCATGTATGTAATTTATGCTAGATTGTTGATACATGTTTCTACAAGTATGACTTTTCCCAATTTCTACCCCAAACTATTTTTTTAGAAATAGTTTGGGTCTGTATATCATTACCTTCGTAATTGGACTCTTCTTGGATATAAATTCCTAAACACGAAAGAAAATGTATCGACCCACAGCCTCGACATTTTATCTCAGGTTGTTTTATCTCTCTATATAATCAGGACTCACAGCACAGAACTCGGAGAAGGAGTCTGTGTGTTTTGAAAACACAATTGTCTTGTTGGCGGCCCGAGTTTAACATCATATCCCAAGCAAGAACCAGGGTAAGTAAGTTTTATTATTTAACAGAATGTAAACATATCAAGTAAGGGGACTTCAAACGTTTGTTTAATTAAACATTGCACAATTCTGTGAGTTTGTATGACAAATTATTTGACTGGGAAAACTATACACCATGCCAGTGTGTTTTTAGTCCAACGGTAGCGTAGCTGTCTCAATAGTTTCGTGAAAATATATCACCTTTGTCTAGACTCCAGATTGAGGACAGGGAAAGATGATTTGAATAATTCACCACGACGCAGAGAATATAGTTTCATTTTAATAATAAACAATATGTGGTATGCAGGGCAACTTATATCCAAACGGGATCTATCTGTCACGTTGACCGTCCCAAGACTGTACTAAGAGAACTCTTTGGGATCCTTTCTAGCGGAAGTGTTTTAAAGATTGGTACATAGAGTTAATCCATCTCCTCTGTCCTGGTTCAAAACACTACTAGGATGTCCACCAATCGCCATAACTACGGCCCAATCAAAATGCATAGTTACAAGCTGCAATACAAACTGTAATCTCATTTGATAATGTTGTTACATTTCCGTGACCTTTTGACACGGCATACCCTACCTGTCAAACTGATGACACAGAGCGGGCTAAACAGCACCTGGCTACAATTTAACAAGGGCGAGAAAGCGAGGATTAATTTGCCATTAATTTACAACTAAATAACAAGTTTACCTCTTTTTATCTAGTGTTTATTCTTCTCTCTAATCACAGTTGTGAAACACTATGGAACAAGTGAGTCATGCAAACGTGTATACAAGTCTAAAATGTATGGAAAAGACTTATTGTGGACGAATATGTATTTGCTGAGGGTCGTGAACCCATTATGTTCAATTCCAAAACTTGAATTTTGTTGCAGAGTATATCAACTGTGTCACTAATGTCTATGTTGACGTGGTAACATTTTATCAAAACCAAATACCATATATCATGTGCATTTGTGGGTGAACTGAGTGAATGTGGAACAACGCCCTTGATTGCCTAGTCATTATTACTATGCTCTTTACTCGACAGCAAGTTTACTGTGCGTATACTTCGAATATATACTATAATTATGTGCAGCGCCTTTGAACTTGACTAGTCAAGGAGTTAGGTAGTATAGGAAATGGCGTTAGTTTCTGTGTATTAGACAAAATTCGTAATGTCAACTGATATTTGGAGTGGTCGCCCCTCCAAAATAGAACTGAAACTATTTCTGTTAGCAACATTTCCCCCTCAAAATGCAGGAAATAGCGTTTCAGAGGTCTATATTTCCAAATTTTCAAGGGGGAGCATGCCCCCGGACCTGCAGCCTTGGCGTAAGTCTGATGTGCAGACCCCACCCCACCCCATGCAACATTTCGTGCCGCCGCCTCTGACAATGCAAGCAAAGTTTGATGGTATCTAATTACAACATCGCATTATGTGTGCGCCACGTTGTATTAGTCATGAATATAGTGTTGTAGTTGGATTGCTGTGTAACATAACTATTGTATTGCTTAAGCAAATATTATGCAAAATTAATAACAATGTGAAGGTAAACAAGTAATAACTCTGCATAATAATCACCTGGCAAGTTATCAGGTGCAATTGATTTCTGTAATTTTCTTCAAATCCTTAAAGCGAACCTAAATGTGGTCTTAATTTATAGTTGTGTATATTCTAAACTGTATTCGAAATAATATTGCAGTGGTTTAATTTTGTTTTAATTATAACTGTAGCTTGATAGACATTTGAAGTGCTTGCAATT